ACAAAAAAAAAAAAAAAAAAACGCAATTACAAAACTGGCAAAATTTCTGAACACACATGTCACCAAAGAAGTTATACCATGGCAAATAAGTATATGAAAAGATGCTCAACATCATTATATTATTAGATAACTGCAAATTAAAACAATGAGATACCACTATATACTTCTTAGCACAACAAAAATCCAAAAACCTGAAAATACCAAAGACCAGCAAAGATTTGGAGCAGATGGAATGCTCATTCATTGCTAATAGGAATGCAAAATGGTACAGCCACTTTGGATGATAGTTTTGCAATTGTTTCAATGTTAAACATAATCTTACCATGAGATCCAGCAACTGTGCTCCTACGTCTTTATTCAATTGAGTTGAGAACTTATGTTCACACAAAAGCCAGCACACAAGTGTTTATCACAGCTTTATTTATTATCAACAAAAACTGAAAGCAACCAAGATGTTCTTCAGGAGGTGACTGGATAAACTGTGGTATATCCATACAATGGAATATCACTCAGTGACAAAAAGATATGAGTTACCAAAACGTGAAAAAACATGAAAGAACCGTAAAGGCATATTGCTGTGTGAAACAATCCAACCTGAAATGGCTACATACTGTATGATTCCAACTATATAACCCTTTGGAAAAATCAAAACTACAGAGAGAATGAAAAATGAAGTGGTTGTCAGGGGCTCAGGAGAAGGGAGTGAGGAATAGGAAACTGTCATGGATTGAATTGTGTCCCCCAAAAATAATATGTCAACTTAGCTGGGTCATGATTCCGAGTATTGTATGATTTTGTCCCATTTTGTAATCTGATGTGATTTCCTTACGTGTTGTGAACTCTTCATCACTACAGTCTAATAAGATGGATTAGTGGCACTTATACTGATGAGGTCTACAAGATTAGTGTCTTAAGTCAATCTCTTTTGAGATATAAAAGAGAGAAGCAAGTAGAGACACATGGAAACCTCAGACCACCAAGAAAGCAGTGCCGGGAGCAGAGCACATCCTTTGGAACTGAGGTTCCTATGCAGAGAAGCTCCCAGACCAAGGGAAGATTGATGACACAGACCTTCCTCCAGAACCAACAGAGAAAGCAGTCCCCTGGAGCTGATGCCCTGAAATTGGACTTGTAGCCCACTGGACTGTGAGAGAATAAACTTCTCTTTGTTAAAGCCATCCATATGTGTTATTTCTGTTATAACAGCACTAGATGACTAAGACAGGAATGCATACGAAGTTTTTAGGGTAGTCAAACGACTCTGTATGATACTTTAATCATGACTACTTGTCATTATGCATTTGTCAACACCCATAAGACTACACAGTACAAAAAGTGAATCTTAATGTATCAGTATTGGTTGGTTAATTTTAATAAATGTACTACACTAAGGCAAGATGTTAATACTACGGGAAACCATATGCTGAGGATGGGAGGTGGGTATGTGGAACTCTCCTATTTGCTTAATTTTTCTATAAATCTAAAGATGTAGTAAAAAAGAAATTAAGTCTATTAACTATTTTTAAAAAATGCAATATAATTTCTGGCATCCAATCAAAAATTTCCAAGCATGCAGCGAAGTAAAAAAATATAACCTATAATAAAGAGAAAAGTCAATCAATAGAAATACAGAATAACAGAGATGACAGAATTAAAAAGGACATTCATACATAAAAAAATATACCCTATACGGTCAAAATGTGGAAGAAAGCATGATCGTGTTAAGGAGAGTCAAAGACAATATTTAAAAAAAGATTCATATCAAACTTCCAGAGATGAAAAATAGAATGTCTCAGATGAAAAATACACTGGATAGTATTAACAGCAGATTAGATACTGCAGAATAAAAAGATTAGTAAACTTGAAGACATAGTAATAAAAACCATTCCAAATACAACAGGGGGAAAAAGAAAACAGTATCAGTGAGCTATGAGAGAACATCACATAGCGTAGTATACATATTGTCACAATTCTCTAGAGGAATTAAGTGCATCCTGTGTGGCTCCACAGGAGAGGACTTTTTGGAACCTTGCTGATTTTGCTTTGCATTCTCTGTTGGTAATAAATCACAGTCGTAAGCACTACTATACGCTAAATCCTGTGAGTTCTGCTAACACATTACCAAATGCAGGAGTGGTCTTGGGGACACCCAACATACCACAGATCGAAGTAACTCAGCAATCCCCAAGCAAGAAACTACTCCAACACATACCACAGGCACATTGCTTAAAACCAGTGATAATGAAAGATCAAGAATGAGAACAGATTCGGGCCTCTCACGAGCAATTCTTGAGCTAGAAGACAATGAAGGAAAGCTTTCAAAACTATGAAAAAAATTATCTCCAGCCTAAAATTCTATCCCCAAGCAAACTTTGAATCACATATCAAAGTGGGGTAAAAACATCTCAGACATCCCAAGTGTCAAAAAATTATCTCCCATAAATCCTTTGTCAGGAAGCTACTAGAAGATGTATTCAACCAAAATAAGGGTGATAACCAAGAAAGAGGAAGACATGGAATCCAGAATAAAGGAACTACAATGCAGAAGAGAGGTGAGGGGAATTCCCAGAATTATAGTGAAGGGAGACTCTAAGATGGCAATGTCCACCAAGCAGAGAGCATGTCAGTTCAAACTGGAGTTGGCTACAAGGTTTTGAAAACAGGTCTTACAAGGAAATAAAACTGACAGAATGTCTGTCTGAAAATCTTACCGAGAGAGCTAGAATGGCGGAAAAATAGTGTTTATTAACAATAAGTAAAACCAAGCAAATAATAAAATAACTATTAACAATAGTGGCAAAAGTTGTTAATAATTGCCTTGGTTATAAATTTTATTTTTTCATAAATATATAAATGCCGAATATTAATCTAATCAAAATATGGTATGTTTATACTGGGAGAATGGAGGGATAGGAAAGGTTCAGTGTGTAATGAGATGTGGGGAATGAGTGGGTAGAACAGACCTGTTTATTCATGTTTGGATGTACAATGCAAGCAGGTTATTTAGAGATAAAGGGGCAAAGAACCAACTAAAAGAGTCAAAGTGACTGTCCCTAAAGAAAGTGGGAAAAAAAAAAACACCAAAAGGCTATGATTAACAAATACCATAAAAAGAATAAAATCATTTAAAACATCCATTCTTACCTTGGGAAGTTCAGATAGTCTCTCTTCACTTGTCAAAGAGCAACTACTTGCACAAGAAGCACAGTCTGATATTTCCACAGTACTCTCACTTTGAAATGCACTGTATTCATTATCATCTTCCCTGTCACTGTCTATCTCCCAGTCAATAAACTGTAGTTCATCTGAAAAACAGAGTATTTAACTTGCATTTAGCTTTTTATTTTCAATCTTTTTTTAAATTTGAGTACTTAATGTATCTATGTTACTGAATAAAGTTAACAAGTGTATTAACAGGTATACAGTGAAAGTAAATTCCTACTCTTATCTCTAGCAATCTTGTTTCTCCCATACTTATCCCCACCTCAATTTTCAGTTAACTACTTTTATTAGTTATTGGTATATCCTTCCAGTTTCTCTAGCCATGTTCAAGTAAATAAAATACATATTCACATTCTTTCTTCCTTTCTTGTACACTTTAATTTTTTTCATTTAATAACAAAACTGAAAAGTTTTTCCTCATCAATAAACAAGGAGCATCATTCTTCTTTACAACATAGTATTCTATTGCATAGTAGAACCAGAGTGTCCTTAATCACTCCACTATTTATAAAGACTTTCTGAAGCATTTTCAACCAAAAACTTTCTCTATACATTACTTTCATATGTAAGGAAATAACTAAATCCTGTTTTTCATTTATGTAATATAGATGATATTTTTACAAAATTTTAATTCAAAAAGTTGAACGTTTTTATATATAAATAACAAAATGTACTGATTCCAATCTGCTATGTTTGAAGAAATGATAGTAATTATTAAAGAAGTTAATTATTAAAGAACTGATTATTCTATTAGTCTCCAATAGCCTATAATATAAACCTTTCCTACACTCTACTGCACAAGTGCTCCCTAAAAGCTGTTTCAGCAACTCAAAGGGCTAACTAGATATCTTGGCCTATTTCAGATGTCTGATATCAACAATCTCACTTCTAGACAGAATATTTAAAATAAAAAACCTATTTGGTTTAGTACCTGAAGGGATTTTTTTTTTTTTTTTAAGTTTTAGATAAAGTTAAAAATATGGAGAAAAGTAAACAACAAAAAAGAATGTCTTCTTTAATCTGATACTGCTGTTCCAGAACACAGAGAGAAAGTCCACTGTGATGATTACAAAGTCTGGAGGACACACCACCCACCAACGAGAGTGACAAACTGCATAATGACAATTATTTCCCATATCTAACATCAGAGTTAGTGACAGAATCCCAGGCCGAGGAACATCTAAGAAATTATCCTTGATGCTGAACCATCGTGGTAGGAAGTGACAAAGAGCCAAAGGACAAGTTCCCTCAGAACTTCTTCTTCTACCAGTACTGCATATTTGTGTAGCACTCACTCATTAAAATGAGAGCCTTCTAGGGACCTATATATTATTGAGAAAAAAAAAAAAAAAAAAAACTCGTTGCTGTCAAGTCGACTCGGACTCATAGTGACCCTACAGGACAGGGTAGAACTGCCCCATATGGTTTTCCAAGGAGCGCCTGGTGGATTCGAACTGCCAACCTTTTGGTTAGTAGCCATAGCTCTTAACCACTACGCCTCCAGGGTTTCCATTCTTGAGACGGTGTCAAAATTCAGGTGGGAAATACTCAAGGTTGTATTTTGGCTCTCGTGGACTTGTTTTAATTTTCTTCAACTTTAACTTTAACTTGCATATGAGCAACTGATGGTCTGTTTGCAGTTGGTCCCTGGCCTTGTTCTGACTGATGATACTGAGCTTCTCCATTGTTTCTTTCCACAGACATAGTCAATCTGACTCTGGTGTATTCCATCTGGCGAGGCCAACATTTATAGTTGCCATTTATGTTGGTGAAAATATGTATTTGCAATAAAAAAGTTGTTGGTCTGGCAAAATTCTATCCTGCAATCTCTGAAGTTGTTTCTGTCACCAATGCCATATTTTCCAACAACTGATCCTTCTTCTTTGTTGCCAACTTTTGTATTCCAATCACCAGTAATTATCAATGCAACCTGATTGCATGTTTGATCAATTACAGACTGCAGAAGTTGGTAAAAATATCCAATTTCTTCATCTTTGGATTTAATGATTGGTAAGTAATCTGAATAATAGTCACATTAACTGGTCTTACTTGTAGGTGTATAGAAATTATCCTATCACTGATAGCATTATAATTCAGGATACATCTTGAAATCTTTTTTGATGACGAATATGACATTCCACTTCAATTTGTCATTCCTGGCATAGTAGACTGTATGACTGTCTGATTCAAAATGGCCAACACCAGTCCATTTCAGCTCACTAATGTCTAGGATGTTAATCTTTACGCATTCTATTTCATTTCTGATGACTTCCCATTTTCCTAGATTCATGCTTTTTACATCCTATGTTCTAATTACTAATGGATTTGTGCAGCTGTTTCTTTCCATTTTGAGTCATGCCACCTCAGTAAATGAAGGTCCTGAAAGCTTTACTCCATCTACATCATTACGGTCAACTCCACTTGAGGTGGTAGCACTTCACCAATTATATTTTCACTGCCTTCCAACCTGAAGGTCTCATCTTCTGACACTTTACTAGACAATGTTCTACTATTAGGTTTTCATGGGTAATTTTTTCAGAAGTAGACCACTAGGTCCTTTTTCCTAGTCTGTCTTCGTCTGGAAGCTCCCTTGAAACCTGTCCACCATGGGTGCCCCTGCTGGTATTTGAAAGACCAGACGAACTGTGGGATGATATCAAAGACGTCATACATGCAGAAAGCAAAAAGTCATTAAAAGACAGAAAAGAAAGAAAAGACTAAAATGGATGCAAGAAAAGACTCTGAAACTTGCTCTTAAACATAGAGTAGCTAAAGCAAATGAAAGAAATGATGAAGTAAAAGAGCTGAACAGATTATTTCAAAGGGCGGCTAGAGAAGACAAAGTGAAGTATAATGACATGCAAAAACCTGGAGATAGAAAACCGAAAGGGAAGAACATACTTAGAATTTCTCAAGCTGAAAAGAACTGAAGAAAAAATTCAAGACTTGAGCTGCAGTAGTGAAGGATTCTATGGGCAAAATACAGAATGACACAGGAAACATCAAAAGAAGATGAAAGGAATACACAGTTACTGGACCAAAAATTTAGTTGATGTCCAACCATTTCAGGAGGTAGCATATTTTAAAGAACTGATAGTACTGAAGGAAGAAATCCAAGCTACGTTGAAGGCACTGGTAAAAAAAAAAGGCTCCAGGAATTGACAGTATACCGACTGAGATGTTTCAACAAATGGATGCAGTGCTGGAGGTGCTCACTCGTCTATGCCAAGAAATCTGGCTACCTAGCCAACCTACTGGAACAGATCCACACTTGCGCCCATTCCAAAGAAAGGTGATCCAACAGAATGCAGAAATTATCAAACAGTATCATTAACATCATACGCAAGTAAAATTTTGCTGAAGATAATTCAAAAATAGTTGCAGCAGTACATCAACAGGGAAATGCCAGAAATTCAAGCTTGATTCAGAAGAGGACGTAGAACAATGGCTATCACTGCTGATTTCAGATGGATCTTGGCTGAAACAGAGAATACTAGAAAGATGTTTACCTTGTGTTTTATTGACTATGCAAAGGCATTCAACTATGTCAATCATAACAAATTATGGATAACATCTGGAAGAATGGGAATTCCAGAACACTTAATTGTGCTCATGAGGAACCTAACTATAGACCAAGAGGCAGTCGTTGGAACAGAACAAGGTGATACTGCATGGTTTAAAATCAGGAAAGGGGTGCATCAGGGTTGTATCTTTTCACCATACTTATTCAATCTGTATGCTGAGCAGATAATCCGAGAAGCTGGACTATATGAAGAAGAACAGTGAATCAGGATTGGAGGAAGACTCATTAACAATCTGCGATATTCGGATGACATGACCTTGCTTGTAGAAAGCGAAGAGGACTTGAAGTACTTACTGATGAAGATCAAAGGCTACAGCCTTCAGTACAGATTACAATATATATATTTTTAAAAAAAAATCCTCCCAAATGGACTGATAAGCAACACCATGATAAATGGAGAAAAGACTGAAGCTGTCAAGGATTTCATCTTACTTGGATCCACAATCAACACCCATGGAAACAGCGGTCAAAAAATCAAATGACATATTGCATTGGGCAAATCTGCTGCAAAAGTCCTCTTTAAAGTGTTAAACAGCAAAGATGTCAAGCAAGCTGGACAACGAATAAGGAAATCCTAAGAATAATTGATGACTTTGAATTATGATGTTGGTGAAGAATATTGAATATACATGGACTGCCAGAAGAACGAACAAGTCTGTCTTGGAAGAAATACAGCCAGAGTGCTCCTTGGAAACAAGGGTGGCAAGGCTTTGTCTCACATACTTTGGACATGTTATCAGGAGGGACCAGTCCCTGGAGAACGACATGATGCTTGGTAAAGTTGAGGGTCAGCAAAAAAGAGGAAGACCCTCAATGAGATGGATTTACACAGTGGCTGCAATGATGGACTCGTGATGATGTGATGATGGCGCAGGACTAGGCAGTGTTTCGTTCTGTTGTACATAAGGTCACTATGAGTTGGAACCAACTTGAGTGCACCTACAAACGGGCCCATCACACCATCTTAAATACTAAAAATTCAAAATAAACAATGGCGAGAATACAGAACACCTTTTTACCCTTGGGAAGCCCACAGATGAATAAGCACTTACACTGCAGTGTGATCAGTGTTATAAAATGCTGTACCACAAACAAGGGGTCTTTCATTTAATCACTATTATATGAAGCAGACAAGACAATTACTACTATATCACTAAGATTTGCATTTTATAGGTGAAACTACTGAGCCTGCCAATAAGTTAAGAAATTTTCAAAATGGAGAAAACGGAAGAAAAAAGTTTGTAAGAGAAAACTATTTTGACATTTTGAGCTCAGTGTTCTTCCCACTAGACCCCAATCTTATGTCTCAAGGCCCTAAGGGCTTTAGCCCAGTAAGACTAAAACTTACCTATGAATATATATATATTATTGTGATACATACACATATCAGAACATTTTCCATTTCAACATTTTTTCATGACAACTGATTATGTGCATTACATAGTTCAACCAACACTACTATCGCTTTCCAAATTTTTCCATCGCCCTTAATAGAAGCTC